AGTTCTTGAGGGAACAATCTGCTGGGAAAGACAGTCTAATCTGATGCCAAGGACCCTAAAGAGTTAATAAACATCAAAGCCCCAACTCAGTGACTCACTAGTTGGTGACAATCAAGTCACTCCTTTCTGGGTCTCCCTTTCTCAGCTGTCCTGGGTAAAGTGAACTAGGTCAATGTTTCTGAACCCTAATTCTGCATCAATACCAACTGGTAAAAATGCAGATGCATATATAGTGTATGTGTGTATGTGTGTATGTATATATATACATACATACAAATATATATGTAGGTATGTATGTGTACACACAAAGAGAGAAAGCAAATGTGATAAAATGTCAAGAATTAGTGAATCTGGGTGAAAGAATATATAGGAACAGGTTATACAATTCTTCACAAGTTCTCTATAAATTTGATGTCTTTTTTTTATTTTTAAATATGGATGCCCACCCCTACTTCTGTTGACTCAGAAGAGGGCTCCTGGCATGGGTTTAACAGGCTCCCTGAAGGGGGTTCTCTGCCCACCCCGGATTCAAAGACATCAGCCACAGATAACATCTCAGGGCCCCAGCTCCCACGTCATGATTCTGAGAGCACAAGGGAGTTTTTGCTTGTTGAGCTCTGGGACAGTCCCACAGAAGAACCCAAGGTCACTAGGGGAAGAGGTGAGGAGGTGGGTAGAAGGACTTGCTTCACCTTCTGCCATCCAATCTCTCCAGATCCTGCCTCTGCAATACCCCAGGCTCACAGCCACCTGCCCCAGGCTCCCTGCACCAGGTGTGCTTCTTAATAACAAGCCCTCTTATTGTGTAGGACCATCAGGCCCACGGGCCTGACACTGAGGCCCACCTCACCGCCAAGTACCTGTATGAACCCCGGCAAATCACTTGATCTCTCCAGACCTCAGTTTTTCTCTTCTTAAAAATGGACACAATATCACCTACTCTCATTCCTCACGAGACACTGTGTATATTACATGATTAGGAGGATGTGACTGTCCTCTGGGAACCCACAAAAGGCTGAAGCAAGGTATTCAGCCACCAGGATTTTGCCCATCATGGCCCACTGCCTGGTCTGGGGTCTCGGGGTAGTGGAAGACAAAGCAGCAAAGTGCCCTGGAAATGCCAGAGAACAGTGCAAGGGCCCCGGAGGCCAGGGAAGGAGCCAGGACACTCCCAACCTGGAACAGATCAAAATCTGTACTCCCAGGGGACCACCCTCCTGACTGTCTACCCCAAACGAGCTTCTTGGCTAGAACAGCAAGGACGAATAGAAGCAGAAAGGGCACCGCCCCCAACCCCCAATGTGTCCTGATCACGTATTTGTCCCTAGGCCTCCTCCAAGACTGAGGGACAAGGAATGGCCAGGGCTCCTTGGGTAGTCCATTTGATGCTTGAGTCAGTTTCCCCATCTATAAAATGACAAGAGGCAATAAGGGCCACCCCACTAAGAGGCACAAGGGAAACAATCCACTCTTTGTGAGAGAAATTTGCATGTAATGGCATCATGGAGGACCACACGAAAGGCTGCAACACTTTCAAGATGGGTAGACACAAGATTCACCTGAGCAATCACAGTAAAGGCCCAGAAGACTGTCTCCAGCCATCCATATCTGGGTGTCCCAGGCTCAGGACAGAAGAACTCTAACAGTCATTCCGTCAATTCCCACCCCAGTGCACACGGCCCGCAGCAGCCTCTACCCAGCCCACCCTCTCCTAGGGCTTTGGCTTCTGCTCCTGTTTCTGCTCTACCCTGCCTCCTTCCACCTGAGCCCACCTTGTCAATGAAGGAGGCAAACTTGTTGTTGAGGGTCTTGATCTGCTCATGCTCCTGGGTGCGCACCCGCTGGATCTCCGGGTCTATCTCCACGTTGAGAGGGGTCAGCAGGCTCTGGTTGACAGTGACCTCCTGGATGCCTCCAGGAGGACAGGTGGGCCCAAATGTCTGCCTGCCAGCCCCCAGGCCAGGGTAAGCCCTGCCACCAAGGCCAAGGTCCCCCAGGGACCACCCCACTGAGGCCTTTCTAGCCACGCTGACCGAAATGCTCTTGCTGCCTCCCAAGTTATAGAGGCTCCGGCTGCCAAAGCTGCCCATGCTGGCGTCACAGTGGGATTGCTCACCACTGCCACGGCTCTGGGACACCATCACCGAGCTGAAGCTGGTGCGAGCTGGGGACCTGCCCCCTGCACTGGCAGGGTTGGAGCTGAAGCCCCCTTTGGTGGAGCATGGCTGCCGAGACACAGAAGACGTCATGGCTGTCAGAGCGTGAGCGCAGGCTGAGAGGGCTGGGAGGGAGGGAATGCGGTGAGCTGCTGGGTCACTGACGGGCTTTTTATCTTTTCCCAGCTGGCCTGGCTCCTGGGCTCTGCAGAAACGTCTGCCCCATCGCCCCAGGAGGAGGGAGGAGCCCTGTGGGCAAGGGAGTCCCCTCTGCCCCAGTGAGAGGGAGGGGCTGCGCCCAGCTATCCCTTGTACTCTGGAGCCAGAGCTGAGCCAAGACCATGTGGGACAGGATGCTACCTTCTCTCCCTGGGGCTCTCCTGACTTGGAACAGAATGATACAGGCCCTCACGGCCACCCCCACCACCCAGTGGCCTCCTCCCACCCAGCCCTGGTGGCCACCATCAATGGGACTCTGTTCTGTGGAGTTTGTCCCAGGCCCCTGTCATAAGCCAAGGCCCCAGGGCCCAGGACTGTGCAGGTAAAGGAGGAAGCATTGGGCAATGGGCTGTGGAGAGGGTGCCAGAGCTGCTCCAGTCTCACCTCTTAGCCCACAGCCTCATTGCCTCCTGTCAGGTCTAGGTTTGGGGACACAGGTGACAGAGTGAAGATGGGGGCAATCTGCTCTTTTTTCATGTACTGGCAGACTGTCTGCTGGGTGGAGACCCTGTGCCGGGCAAAGTGGACACAGAACAGGAAGAGAGTCTGCCTGACCGCAGGGCCTGGGCACTTGATGAGGAAGTAGAAAGGCTTGAACCCCTCAGGCAGTGCCCCAAAGCCAAAGACATGAAAGGGCCAAAGCACACCCTTCTGGGGGCTGATGAGAGACAGGGGGCTCTATCCATCACCTAAGACCCCCCAACCCTCTGCCCTACAGCAGAGCCGCCCCAGAAGGGCCCAGCCACATTGGAGAGAGTGGTGGTGGGTGCAGGGCACATCCCATCCTGGCTGGACATAGGTGGAGACCTAAGACATATTGTTCAACAAAAGCCCCAAGAGGCCAGTGGAGCACCCCACATGCCTTTCTTCCCAGCCCACAAAGCACCCTGATGCTTGATTCAGAAGAGGCTGGGGGCTGCTCAAATCACTTCATAGAGCCCCTCTGCACCCCACCCACCTCAGGCTACTGGGACCAAACACAGCCCAAAGGAAGACTTAGAGACTGCCAGGCAGTGTTGAGCAGGTGCCTTTAACCTCTCACACGCAACCAGGGCCAGAATTGGGCCTCTCACCGCTTATGACCTCAGGGCCCCAAGAGAGAGGACATGGGACCACTCCCACAGTCCAAGGAAGGCAGGTGCAGAGCAAGCCCGCTCCAGGCCCAGAGGAGGCTGTGGGTTTCTTTTCTAAGGCCACTGGGAAGCCATAAGTGACTCCCAGCTTGTGGAGTTGCACCTAACTCCCATGAGGGATGGGGAGAGGGGCACTTGCAGAACTAGTCCCTGAATGCTCAAGAGGGGATTTTCCTCCCTGCTTTGGAGCTAGAATACCAGGCATTTGCAGGGAGCCAGCTGGAAGATTAATCCCCACTGAGCTGTGTGTCCCTGGGCAATTCTCAGCCTCTCTGGGACTACTTGTCTCTGCTTATAATGATGTCAGAGACATTCTTTCAAAAGACATTGGCCTGTGATCACAGGACTAAGCTGTCACTTCCCCCTGACCCTTGTCTCCCATCCCTCAGGCTGTGCTAACTTCCTCAGCTCCCCTCATCATACCCACAGGGGTGTGGGAAGGGTAGAGAGTCACATGTGAGGCCCCCTGGGGGAGGACTGATATCTGCCCCCTGAGTCAGGCACAGTGGTGGTGGGAGTAGAGCCGACGCAGACACACTTTCCACCTCTTGGCAGATACTGATAGCCACGTCTATTTACCTGGCTCTTTGTGCTGGGAGCTGTGACAGACAGTTACTGCCCAGAAACAGCCCCCCTCCTGCCCAGCTGGAGCAGCTCACCTGTCCCAGCCCAGAGTGTGGGAGCCACTGTGCCGTCCCCAGGCCTGACTCTCCCCTCTACTTGCATAGGGACACCCCAACTCAAACCCTCCTTCTATAACCAAGGATCAGCAGTTTCCTCCCACCACAGCTGGTCAGACCAAGGGCCTCCACTTCTGGAGACTTTTACCTGCCCAGGGTCCCTCTCCGTGGTTGCTGATGGCACCGACGGAGAACCCACTGTGGGCCAGGCTGGGGGCAGAGCAACAGGAAAGATGCAGGGGTGAAGCAAACAGTCGCTGTCCTTGAGGAGCCACCATCCAGGGCAGGACTTCCTCATCTAGCAATACTGTGGTTACAGCGAGCATGTGGTGAGCACCCACTATGTGGCGGCACCATCCATGCAGTAACGCATCTCACCTCCATTCTGGCCATGTTCCGTTTGCCTCCTGCCTGCCACAGGCCATTCACCAGCCTCGCTGACCCCTGTAGACTGTTCACCTGCTCTCTGGCTGCCAGGGAGGGTTGGCCAAGGGGAGACACCATCAGGAGATGGAGGAAGGAGGGAGGGAGGGGTGACAGTGGCTGCATCTCTGTCATCCAGTCACTCGTTTCCTCCTCTCCAGCTCTGTACAGGGCGACCACCTCATCCTGCTTTTCCCAGGACTGTCCCCATTTAGCACTGAAATTCTCGCATCCTGGGAAACCACTCAGCCCTCTGGGTGCAACGATGGCTTCCCACTGATGGCCATCTGTGTTGTGGCCTTTCCATCCTTGGTTTGTTTTTGTTCCCTTAGCCTCCTCAGTAAGAATTCCTTTCATTAAAGTCCATTTAATGGAGCTATCTTGGGTGAATTTTGCTTCCTTTTGGGATCCTGCATGGTACGATTCCCACAGAGGTAGGTCTACTTGTTCATCTCTTTGCACAAACTGAAGTATGGGGAGGTTAGATGCCCTCTTCAGAGTCTCAGCACTAGGAAATGGTGAGCTGGGATTCAAGCCCAAAATCCTGGCTCTGGGGCCATGTGCTCACCCCTCATGTCACCCGCACAGAAGGCTGAAAGTATACTTTTTTTTTCTTTTTTGGTATCATTAATCTACAATTATATGAGGAACATTATGTTTACTAGGCTGCCCCCTTCACCAAGTCCTCCCCACAAACCCCATTACAGTCACTGTCCATCAACGTAGTAAGATGCTGTAGAATCACTACTTGTCTTCTCTGTGTTGTACAGCCCTCCCCATGCCCCCCACCACATTATACATGCTAATCATAACACCCTCTTTCTTCCCCCCCTTCTCCCTCCCTTCCCACCCATCCTCCCTGGTCCTTTTCCCTTTGGTAACTGTTAGTCCATTCTTGGGTTCTGTGAGTCTGCTGCTGTTTTGCTCCTTCGGTTTTTCCTTTGTTCTTATACTCCACATATGAGTGAAATAATTTAGTATTTGTCTTCTCTGCCTGGCTTATTTTACTGAGCATAATACCCTCTAGCTCCTTTCATGTTGTTGAAAATGGTAGGACTTGTTTTCTTCTTATGGCTGAACAATATTCCATTGTGTATATGTACCACATCTTCTGTATCCATTCATCTACTGATGGATACTTAGATTGCTTCCATTTCTTGGCTATTGTAAATAGTACTGTGATAAACATAGGGGTGCATCTGTCTTTTTCAAACTGAGCTGCTGCATTCTTAGGGTAAATTCCTAGAAGTGGAATTCCCAGGTCAAATGGTATTTCTGTTTTGAGTTTTTTGAGGAACCTCCATACTGCTTTCCACAATGGTTGAACTAATTTACATTCCCACCAGCAGTGTAGGAGGGTTCCCCTTTCTCCACAATCTCACCAACATTTGTTGCTGTTTGTCTTTCGGATGGTGGTGATCCTTACTGGTGTGAGGTGATATCTCATTGTGGTTTTAATTTGCATTTCTCTTATGAATAGCGATGTGGAGCATCTTTTCATGTGTCTGTTGGCCATCTGAATTTCTTCTTTGGAGAACTGTCTGTTCAGCCCCTCTGCCCATTTTTTAATTGGATTATTTGCTTTTTGTTTGTTGAGGTGCGTGAGCTCTTTACATATTTTGGTGAAAGTATACTTTTGATAGAGAAACCCATGGATCTGAGAAAAGGGCTAACCTCCCCCTCAGGCAGAGGAGAATGGCCTGGCCTCCTGGTTCCAGTGCCCAGGCTATGGAGTTTGGAGTTGAACCAGGTAGAGAGGGCAGAGCTGGAAGTAGCAGTACAGGAAGCCAAGCAGCTGCTGGGGCCTGGGGGTGAAGGTGATCCTCCCTACCCTCCTAGCATCTACTCCTGAAGCCCATACTCCTGGCTTCCTGCAGAAGAGGGGAGACATTTTCAGCCTCAGGTTTCAACAGGCCCAGTGATGGGATGAGAGCCAGGGCGTAAAGGGGCTGGGGCAGAGCTCAGTTTCAAGTTCCCATCAGGGCCTCCCCCAACCCAGCATAAGCTGAGCAGCAGTTCACCATCCTGGGTGCAGAAGAACCTGCCCAGAGGTCCCTGGCTAGTAGGGAAGCTGAGTCCCAGACCAGAACAACACAGAAACAGAGCCAAGGATAGTAACAAGTGCAGCCAGGCTGTGCTGGGGACAGGAAGGGTCTGGCGTGCTCAGACATGGGACATTAGGGAAGGTTTCCAGGAGGAGGAAACTCTGGGGCAGACTTGGGAAGGAGGAGCAGGGGTGAAGGGGGTGCCCTGAGTCAGGAACAGAGCCTATTGCAGGCAATTAAGCAGAGAAGAAGCTGCAAGAGTCACTGAAACATCAGTGGAGGCAGAGGAGATGGAGGGCAATCCAGGAAGCAGAGTGACTCCCTCGACGAGCTGATTTGGATGAGGAGGGGGCATAAGGGGGACACCCCGAACAACCGCAGGTGGGCCATGAGCTGCGTTCTGAGGAGAAGGGATGGGGTAGCCACACTGCTTTAGCTCTGCCGGGTGCCAGCCTGGGAGCTGGGCTGAGCCGCTGGAAAGAGTGGCAAAGAAGCTGCACCATTGCCACAAGGGAACTTCATCTCTGCCCTTCAGCCTCTTCTCTAAATGCCCCTTTGAGCACACATTTAAGGCGATTGCTTAAGATCAGTGC